ATAATAGACGACCCTTTTTATATGAAAACCGTCGTCTTTACTTCATAATAGACGACCATTTTTATAAAAAAACCGTCATCTTTACATATAATAGACGACAGTTCTTTCAAAACAACCATGTCTTTACCAAAAAAAGGACACTTGATTTTTAAAAGACGACGCTTGTCATACCTGCTGTCGTTGTTTTTTGGTCAGATTTTAACTCTAAAGAAAAGCTTTTTAATAAGATGACGCTTTTTTATTTGTGTGCGTCGTTATAAAAAAATTCTCAACAGTATCTCCATTTTTTAGTTGTTTAAGTCACTTATCCACAACGGTTTTTTGTTACCGTCGTCTTTTTAAAAACAACGACGGTTTTTTGTTCTACCGTCGTCTTTTTCTGGTCGTCTTTTGCCCTTTTTGTAGTAGTGACGTGATCAGCTTCCTGACATGTCGCAAGCATCTGCGAGCCACACTTAGAGCAAACGAAGTCTCCCATCCATACTGAATTTGAGGACCAACGTGCGTGAAAGGCTGGGCCCACAACTTCACATCTGCACCCGCCTTGGCCCGCAGGGAAACGTGAATGAAAGGCTAGGCTCCTAGGGAGGTCAACCTGACGGCCATTGCAATGAGGATCGTGAAGAAAGACGCTCTGTTGCTCGCTCGCAGAGAAATGTTCCCGAAAGGCTAGGCCCTCGGGGAGGTCAACCAAATAACCCTCACAATGAGAATCGTGAAGAGAGGCACTCTGCTGCTCGCTCTCGAAGAACCAATTCTCATCACCAAGCTACAGAGAATCCTTCACAAGTGCAGTCCACCAACACACCGCCTAGGCAGCGCAGCCGAGAAGGTCAACCCTTGCGAACCAACGAGGAAGTCAATCAATGTCACCCAAATCGTGAAGGTCATCAACGTGGCCGACTAAACATGTGCACGGAAGACGTTGAGAAGCTTGTAAGTAACCGACTTCAAGACTTCATAATTGGCAGAAATTTTGAAGATGCACTACGTATGGAGGTAGACCGAGCAAACTCCTCACCTTTCACCGCCGAAATCGAGCAGGCTGCTCCCCCGAAATGATTCTCAACGCCCTCTTTCACATGCTTCAAAGGGGATTCCGATCTCAAAAGGTGTTTGCAATGACTTTGCGAGGAGCAGCTCAGGACTGGTTCCATAACCTGCCATCCGGATTGATCAGCAGCTTCAATGAGCTTGCTTATGTCTTCACCAAAGAGAACACTTCTTACCGGACGATGAAGAAGAACCCTAACCACCTGTACAACCTGCGCAAGAAGACCGATGAATCCCTTCGAGATTACATTAAGAGATTCAAAGTAGAAAAGGCCAACATCGTAGGATGCGATGACCGAATCGCGTCCTTAGCATTCAAGAAAGGTTTCCAGCTGAACACGACTTATATCGCGAGCTGACTATCACTCCCAGCCAGACTCTGGCAGAGGTCTTCACGATCGTGGAACGCTACACGCTCTGGGATGACGATCGAATCGCCGCGAAGAAGTCCACCGAGCAGGAAGATCAGCCGACCAAGCGGGCAAGCCAAAGAAGCGACAGGCTTAGCAGCAGGGACAAAGACAAACGCAGGTCGTGCCCACAAGGTGACGCTACGACAAAGGAGAACTACACCAAGTTCTCCATCCCTATACATCAAATCTTAGCCCAAGTAAAGGAAAAATCTTGGGTATAAAGACCGCTACCCTTGAAAGGAGATCCGGACAAGAGGGATACCAGAAAATACTGTGCCTTCCATGGGACGCACGGGCACGCTATGAATAACTGCTTTTCTTGGAAAGCGCACCTTGAAGAACTCGTGAAAGAGGGTCACTACACGGAATTCATCATGAAGCAGGCCATCCAGCGAATTGAGGACCGCGATACCGCCAAGGAGCCACCTCAAAAGGTCATAAGGATTAACACAATCCTAGCTGATTCCGAGGAGTCTGGACTGACTAGCAAGGAAAACAAGAAGAAGATCAAACAAGCCACTGTGATCTCCCAGGTCTCCATTAGTCTCTCATTGGCAGAAGACGATCCCGTGATCGGCTTCCAAAAGAAAGATCTAATCGGCCTTGATCTACCACACAATAACGCCCTTGTCATCAGCATTCAAATCGCTCAGGCCATGGTCGATCGAATCCATGAAGACGAGGGCAGTGCAGCCAATATCCTACAATTGGCAGTCATCCAGCAAATGGGCTTAAAGACAAAGATCAATAAATCAGCTAGGTCACTAACCGGCTTCAATGGCGCAACAACAGTTACTGTGGACACGATAGATCTCGACGGCTACTCCCCACCTGTAATCAGCTCGCAAACATTCATGGTCATTAATGAAGTCTCGCCCTACAATGGCATTCTGGGTAGACCATGGATTGGCAAGATCAACGCCATCATCTCCGCCACACATCAGAAAATCCGCTACCCTATCCTTGGGGGCGGTGTCGGTCAGATCAACAGTTATCAGGCAATTGCGAGGAAATGCTCAGCTCAAGGGCTGAATAGAAGCAAGCAAACACAGTTCCTCCCTGTAAATCTCGTTCCTGACGGCCGAGCAGATCGAAAAGGAAAGGGAATAGCCAATCCCCAATAGCATATTAAAAATCAAGACCAAGTCAAGGGAATCCATCCGGAGGTCTCTCCTGAAGAAGGATGGAAGCCTGAAGATGAGAAAAGCGCGGATCGGCTCGCACCTAAGCCAAGAGGAAAAGGCAGAGCTTGTAGCCGTCCTCCAGAAAAACAAAGACGTATTCTCATGGTCATCGTCCAACATGCCAGGCATCGATCCCCAGATCATCTGCCATCGTTTACACGTCAACCCAACAATCAATCCTGTAGTGCACAAAAGACGCAACTTCACCCCCAAGCAGGAAACAAAGGAGCTTGTCGATCTCTGTTTCATTGAAGAAGCTCCTATCGACAAGCTCCTAGCTACTGGTTTCATTGAAAAAGTCTCCTATGCAAAATAGCTAGCAAACGTTGTTCTAGTAGCAAAGAAAGATAAAGACATGTGGAGAGTGTGTGTCGACTACACAGACCTCAACAAGGCGTGCCCTAAAGACAACTTTCCATTGCTAAGAATTGATCAACTCGTCGATTCAACTTCCAGCAATCAACTGTTAAGCTTCATGGACGCTTACTCCAGCTACAATCAAATCATGATGCATGAAGACGACAAGGCAAAGACCTCATTCATCATCTAAAGAGCTACATACTGCTACAAAGTCATGCCCTTTGGGCTGAAGAACACCGGAGCAACCTACCAAAGGCTAGTAAAAAAAAATTTCAAGGAGCAAATAGGTAAAACTATGGAGGTCTACGTAGACGACATGTTAGTCAAAGCTCCCCAGTGAGAAGACCACATCAAAAACCTTGCCGAGGCATCCAGCCTGCTCTGAAAAATACAACATGAAGTTGAACCCGAGCAAATGCACATTTGGAGTCTCGTCTGGCCAATTCCTGGGATACTTAGTCACTCAAAGAGGAATTGAGGCACATCCGAATCAAATCAAGGCTATACTCAACATGAAGTCACCTACCACAACAAAGGAGATACAAAATCTAACGGGTAGAGCAGTAACTCTCAACCGATTCCTCTCGAGATCTACCGACAAGTGTAGGCCATTCTTCAAAGCCTTGAAGAAAGGACACAAGGACAAGTGGGATGATGAGTGCCAAGTAGCTTTTCAAAACTTGAAAACCTACCTCACTTCACCTCTCTTACTCTCAAAACTGATACCAGGTGAAGACTTGTACATCTACCTGGCGGTGTCTGACTTAGTTGTTAGCTCAGCTCTCATCCGAGAAGAGCTGGGGGCACAACATCTGATATTCTACACTTCAAAAGCTCTCTTCGACGCAGAGACTCACTATCTGAAAATGGAGAAGCTCATTTTTTCGCTTGTGGTTTCTGCGAGAAAACTAAGGCCCTAATATCAAGCGCACCGGATAATTATCATGAAAAAATTTCCTTTGAGATCGATCCTTCACAGCCCCAACACCTCTCAACGACTCATGAAATGGGCAATCGAACTCAGTCAATACTGTTGTGAAAAATGGACAAACACTTTCACACACTCCCCTAATGATCTTGTTGTTGATGGACTTTGTGACACACACAATGATGGATGAAACACACACACACACTTGAGACAACAACCAAGCGCAAAGTGACACAAGAATTTATAGAGGTTCAGCAATTGCCTACATCCTCTTGGTGATCCCCTTGAGAAATTCACTTCATGAAAGAATAAGTTACAACTTTGGTTTTACACAGAAAACCCCCTTAGAACTCTATTCTCTCCCCGAGCTCTCTTTTCTCTCACACCCCTTGCTCAACACTTTGATGCACTTGTGAAACACTCTCACAACCCTTGGTGTTTCCCCCCTTGGTGTCTAGACTCTTAAGACCCCAACTCAGCTCCTAACTTGAACTGATTGCTCTCCCTCACGTTCTCCCTTGGTGAGTTAACCTCCTTTGAACACAATAGCACCCAGCTACTTAACCACCTTGAGATTAACCACACCTATCTTCAACTTGCTTTCACAACTTATAATGTCTTGCTTTACATCCCATTACTTACACAGACCAATGGACACAAGATAAGGCACCATCTTGTCTTCCACGTTCCTTCCTTTAGTCTCCCACTTAGACTAAAGATCAGATCATGCAAGTAAACAAATCCCACTTCAGCCACCTTCCACAAAACCAGAAAATGGAGAATGGATTCTCCAAACCAAGACAACCAATTGGCAATGAGTGCTCTCCCAACTATCCAGCAGGTAGTCAACCCTCTTTTACCTCAGAAGTGACCCACTAAGCCTCTGAAATCTTGTGGAAAGCGATAGCCACCGAAAACACAGTTGAAAACACGTAAGAAAACATCAGCACAGCACAGGGGCGACCGGTCGCTACGACCATTTGGATACATAGCGACCGGTCGCTGATACCTTGCGACCGGTCGCTCGCTGCGATTTTTTCAGACTTCGACTCTGTCCAAAAACGACCGGTCGCCCAAACCTTGCGACCGGTCGCTGCCTCCTTCACTTGCAACCTTAATGTGAGCCAAATTTCCAACAAATACGACCTCCTCTACCGGCTGAAGACCTCTATAAAAGCTCAGGCTTTAGCAAACGATACCTCCCTCACCGATTCAAACCTACCTAAAGACATGTGGCAGTTGCATGTAGACGGAGCGCCAAATCACAAAGGAGCGGGGGCAAGCGTCGTCATAATCACCCCAAACGGAACTTTGTTGGAACAAGCCATTACACTAGGCTTCCCTGCTTCAAACAACGAAGTAGAATATGAGGCATTGCTTATCGGATTGCGCCTAGCAAAAGAACTGTAGATCAAAATATTGGCCATCTACTCAAGACTCCCAGCTGATCACGAATCAAGCCTCAAGTGAGTACATGGCAAAATATCCAAAAATGATCCAGTACCTCGACAAAGTCCAAGGACTTTTGAAATAATTCCTTACTTTCACCATCCAACAAATTCCACGGGCGGAGAACACTCATGCAGATGTGCTGGCGAGCCTAGGATCAGCGCTTGACACCCAGTTCAGACGCTCCATCCCGGTCGAACACCTTGACCGGCCAAGCATCGAAGAAATAGAGCCAATCGACTCAATGCATATTGATGAAGACCCCAACTGGCAAGACCCCATCATCGACTACCTGGTGAATGGAAATTTTCCAACCGATAAGTCCGAAGCTAGGAAGGTCCAGCAGAAAGCCGCGAGATACTACATGCAAGGCGATAAGCTCATTCGTAGATTATACTCCGGCCATAATCTCACCTGCATAAAATATCTCAAACACTTGAGGTCCTCTGCAAAATTCACGACGACGAATGTGGCAACCACTCTGGGGGAAGGTTACTCGCCCAAAAGGCTCTAAATATAGACTATTTATGGCCTACCATGCGCCATGACTCCACTAAGTATGTCAAAAGATGTGATCACTACCAACGGTACAAACCGGATGCTAACCTGCCTGCCGAAATCTACCATCCGCAGAACAGTCCGTGGCTTTTCATGCAATAACCATCAACTTAGTGGGCTCTATGCCTACGACACCAGCCAATAAAGAAATGATGATCGTCGCCACTGATTACTTTACTAAATGGATCGAGGCCGAAACTCTATCCTCTACTAAAGAAGCCATTGTCCGAGTCGCTTCCTATCAATAGCGATTGAAGTCTTACTACGACAAAAGAGCCAAGATCATACAATTTCAACCAGGCGACCTTATGCTAAGAAAGACCTTCATCACTACACAAAGACAAGGTTCCAAAAAGATGAAACCCAATTGGGAAGGCCCTTATGTGATCAACCGGTCCGGGGGCAGAGGAAGTTATACGCTTGACACCATGGAAGGAAAGGAGATTCCGCGACAATGGAATGCCTGCCACCTCCAAAGATACTATCCATGACGCTTCCTCCTACCCGCTTAGTTCCAAGCAGATGACTGAGCCCTGCACATTTCTGAAGAAGAGAAGCAACTACTGCAAATTCCAGAATGTTCCACAACAAAAGACAGTTGCCCATAAAAAGCGTCTTAAGGGAGACGCAGAGCGACGACCAGAAGCGTCCTTTGGGAGACGCAGTCGCAAAGCAGCATCCTAAGAGAGACGTAGGGTGCGCTAGGAATTTCTTAAAAGGAAGTCTCCACGCTTCCTGTGGGAAGTATCCAAGTTTCTATCCGTTTCCTAAGTAGTCAAACAGTTGCCCATAAAAAGCGTCCTAAGAGAGACACAGGGCGACAACTAGAAGCGTTCTTCAAGAGATGCAGCCCGCAAAGCAGCATCCTAAGGGGGCCGCAGGGTGCGCCAGGAATTTCTTAAGAGAGGTATCCAGGTTCCTATCCGTTTCCTAAGGGGGGCAAGAGAGTCATACAGTTGTCCATAAGCAGCGTCCTAAGGGAGACGCAGGGCAATAACCAGAAGCATCCTTCGGGAGACACAGCCCACAAAGAAGCGTCCTAAGAGAGACGTAGGGTGCGCCAGGAATTTCCTATGGGAGGTATCCAGGTTCCTATCCGTTTCCTAAGAGGGGCAGGATAGTCATACAGTTGTCCATAAGCAGCATCCTAAGGGAGAAGCAGGGCAACAACCAGAAGCGTCCTAGGCTTTCTTCGGAAAATGCAGAATACGCCCGGACTCCTTCAAGAGGGACCTTGGCTTTTGCCAAAATCCTAAGGGGAAATGTACAGCCAAGACACTAGCGGGTTACTTAAGCAGTTCACAAGACAATATGCAAATTGAAGTTGAAAAAAATAATAATTGAAATTTCCCTAGCAAAGTGACCAACTAGCCGAGTTCAAACAAAAAGAAGATGATCAAACAAAAAGTATACTACAAAAGATGAAAAGAAATAAAGGAGTCTTCATCTACTCCGAAACGTCGACAGGGGATCCCTGATCTGCAGCCTCTCCAACGTCCACTTGATCAGCCACACTCTCAGCAGCTCCACATGCCTGATCTATGACGTCTGCCACCACCTCATCGGGTGTATCCTCTTCTACTCAATCCTTTTCAGCTACCACCTCTTCAGCGACCTGCTCTTCAACTCCTTCCATGTTCACAGC